CTCCCCACCAAGGGAGGCAGCAAAGCTGAGTGCCCCCGTCCGAGGTGCAGAAAGGAAAGGCGCGACTGCCCCCGTGGAACCTGCAGGTCGACCTGCGCAGGTTCCCCACGCCCACAGGGGTGCACGCTGCATGTGGCCACCTGTGTGGGAGTTCGCCCCACCCTCCCACCGTGCTCCCCTCCTGCGATTCCTACCATGTCCCCCACGATGGCTGGACCCACTCCTCCGTGCTCAGTCGGCTCACCAGCTCATCCTGCCACCCCGGCCGCCCTGGCACAGTGGCTTGCCAGGCTTCCCTGGACGTGGGTTTCCAGGACCAAAGGTCCACAGCTTCCCAGCAGCCAGGTGGCCCCTGGACAACTCCTGGGTGTGCGACGTGCGCTGGAATGCTCGCCGGTGGAGTTGATAGAGGAGGTCTGGGCAAATGCACGTGGGATCTGCGGGTCTGGGGGAGCGCTCTGCAGCCTCAAGCCTCCGCAATCTGCTAGGAACGTTTGCCGAGTTTGCAAAGTCCCTGCGGCAAGTCCTGGCCCAGCCTCTTCACTTCCCCGAAAGCGCGGAAGGGGGAGCTCCTTTCACAATAAAAGCCCTGCCTGGGGCAGCTGCAGCTGCCTAAATCGGGGGCCCAGGTGCTGAAGGCACTGTCCCGCCATCCGAGGGCTGATAAGCCAGGGCAGGAGGAGGGGCCGGGGGCGCATAGCGCAGGGCCTGGGCGCATAGCCCATCCCGCCTCCAAGGTGTGCAGATGCGCTTCAAGCCGGCAATCTGGAGTGACCTGCTGGGCATCGCCAAAACCATGGTTCTCCTCTCCCCTGGGAACCCTGGGAGAGAGAAGCCCCTTTACAGGCATCTCATAGCCCCTTTAGGGCCATAGAGTAAATGACTGATAGCCACCCCTCCCGGACAGCATCCTCCTCCACAGAGCCCTGCCTGTGACTGAATCAACAGGTCTACCCGCGGGCCTTTGCTGTGCACTGTTCATTTTTATTTTTTTAAATATATTTTATTAATCTTTTACAGAGAGGAAGAGAGAGGAATAGAGAGTTAGAAACATCAATGAGAAAGAAACATCTATCAGCTGCCTCTTGCACACCCCCTACTGGGGATGTGCCCGCAACCAAGGTACATGCCCTTGACCGGAATCGAACCTGGGACCTTTCAGTCTGCAAGCCGTCGCTTTATCCACTGAGCCACACCGGTTTCAGCCGTACTGTTTCATTTGCTGTCCCCCGGCTTCCTTGCTCTCCGAGCATGCAATCCAGGGAACACCTGCCACCCACCCTGCTTGGTATTGAATGTCATAACAAGCATGAGGTACCACCGTGTTGGAAAAGACTCTGGCTAACTACTCCAGTTAAATATCCACGTGCTGTGACCCAGCAAACCACACCTGTCCCCAACAGAACTGCCTTCAGATGTGCGCCAAAAGCCAGGTAACAAGAATGCCCGTGGCAGCATTATTCTCAGTGAATAATCCCAAACTGGGAACAATCCAAATATTCAAGAGATATGAGTGAATACGTCAACCAAAAGACATGTACTTTTTTCACAATAGCCCCAAATCTGAAGTCACCCAAATGTCCATCAGCCAGTAGTAGATCCACTCAATGGAACAGCAATCAGTGATGTGAAAAGGTCTCTGCTACATGCAACAACATGAATAAATCTCACAGACAAAACGTGCTGAACGCATCTAAACATAAAAGTATACATACTGCCCTATCCGGTTTGGCTCAGTGGATAGAGTATTGGCCTGTGGACTGAAAGGTCCCAGATTCGATTCCGGTCAAGGGCATGTACCTTGGTTGCGGGCACATCCCCAGTAGGGGGTGTGCAGGAGGCAGCTGATAGATGTTTCTCTCTATCCCTCTCCCTTACTCTCTGTAAAAAAAAATCAATAAAATATATATATTTTAAAAAGTAGCCGAAACCAGTTTGGCTCAATGGATAGAGCGTCGGCTTGGGGACTGAAAGGTACCGGGTTCGATTCCGGTCTAGGGCATGTACCTTGGTTGTGGGCATATCCCCAGTAGGGGGTGTGCAAGAGGCAGCTGAATGATGACTCTCTCTCTCTCATCAATGTTTCTAACTCTCTCTCTCCCTTCCTCTCTGTACAAAATCAATAAAATATATATATATTTTAAAAAGTATACATACTGCCCTGCCTGACTTTGCTCAGTGGTTAGTGTTGCAGGTTCAATTTCCAGTCAAGGTATGTGCCTTTGACTGGGAATTGAACCTGCAACACTGTATACAGTGTTGTTCTTGGGTTCGAGTATTAACAGCACATAGTATATATACTAAATTATTTCCTTTGTATGCAGAACAGATAACCCTAACCTCTAGTATGGAGTAGAAATGGTTAACCCTGAGAAGAGGTTGGCTGGTAGGAAGCAGTGGGAAGCCTCCGGTGCTTTCTAGATCCGGGCAGTGGGCACGATACCTCCCACTGTTGGCTTCCACTGAAGACTAACTCGCTATTCACAAGCTTGCTTATTCTCACTTACCAATACACTGTGACCATTTCCATGTCAACAAAAGTAACTCTCTTTTGTGAATTTTAAGTTGCCGTCGCCTTATTTTATGAAACACACTTTTAGGAATCTTGTCTCCCTAAGTTAGCTATAAATGCTGCCAGGGCGGGGCTCCATCTCACAGATCACATGGAGGAGGAGAACTAGGGACCTGTGGGAATAGTCAGACCTGGGTTTAAAACGGAATCTCGCCACTTCGGGCTGTATAACCCGAAAATGTACCCATGCAGCCTGTTTCCTCATCGACAAAATGGGAATAAGGCCTACCTCGTGAAATTGTTTACAAAATTTTAAATAGACAATGAAGGCAAGGAGCTTAACACCTCACAGATGTTCATCAAATGGTAGCTCTTCTCTTCTACCCTCGCCAAGGGCTTGCTCACAGAGCCCTTGAGAAGGCTATGTGCTGGGGGGGTGGAGCGGCAGGAGAGAGGTCACTGAGGGGGAAAGGAGACATATGAATACTTTAAACAATGAAGAATTTAAATTAGAACATAATAATGAAAAAAAAGGCGGGGGGAGAAAAAAACTATGATGATCCCTCACCTTGTTCCTGTACGCAAGCAGCAGTCTAGAGCAGTGTTTCCCAAACTTCTCTCACGATGAGAATCACCTGGTGGAGTTGTTAAACCACAGATTCCTGAATCCCAACTAAGAAGTGCTAAACTAGAATTTTTGGGAATTCTAAGACAGAGCACTAAGTTAAATATACAATTTTACCTATATGTTCCCCAAAATTCTAGTTTAGCACTCCTTAGTTGGGATTCAGGAATCTGTGGTTTAACAACTCCACCAGGTGATTCTCCTCGTGAGAGAAGTTTGGGAAACGCTGGTCTAGAGGATGAATGCAGGGCTGCATCAATTCAACATGTTTCCCAAGGCCAATCACTTCTTCTCCAGGTCCGCCGACACTCTTCGGCGGACTGCAGCCTTTAAGATCTGAAGATGAATTCTGAGGACTCAGGTGATGTGTATCTTGAATGGCTCTCACAGTCACGGACAGTGATCTCCTTGGAGGAAATGCACTGAACTTCACAGCTGGCAGGCAGGATCTGCCCCATCCAGGCCGGTCCCAGATCAAGGGTATACAAGAGAAATGTTTTAAGTGATGTGGATTTGAAGAAGTAAATAGCACCACCATGTGGTCAACATTCCATGTGGAAGTTGTTCTAGGCCTTGATTGGGTCTTGAGTTTTTCCTACCTACCGGTACTAATGTCCCAGCTTCACAAGGGTGGAGACAGAACTCAGAATTATCCTATGACCCACCAAGTACGGGGGGGTAGAGGGGGGCAAGTAGGTTTAAAGTTGTTCATATGGAAAATAATACAGTAATTAATAACTAATAATACAAAAAAATACACTGTTTCGTGTACTCACAACTACAAACTTACTTTTGCCCCACTCTGTATATATCTAGAGTATGTACCCACCAGAAACGAAAACATATGTCTGCATTAAAACCTGTACACTAATGATCATAGCAGCATCCTATATAATAAAAGGGTAATACGCAAACTGACTGAATGGTCGAACAATCTGTTACTATGACGTGCACTGACCACCTGGGGGCAGACACTCAGCGCAGGAGCTGCCCCCTGGTGGTCAGTGTGCTCCCACAAGAGGAGCACTGCTCAGCCAGAAGTCTGGCTCATGGCTGGCGAGTGCAGTGGTGATAGTGGGAGCCTCTCCCACCTCCCCAGCAGCACTAAGGATGTCCGACTGACGGGCCTAAGCCATCAGTCAGACATCCCTTGAAGGCTCCCAGCCTGCGAGAGTGTGCCAGCCGGGCTGAGGAAACACCGTCCCCACCCCCTGCCCAGTGCAGGAATTTCATGCACCAGGCCTCAAGTTATTAATAATGCCCAAACTAATGTCCATCGACTAATAAACGGATAAGCAAAATGTGATATTATCCATCTAATGGGTCTTATTCACACAGAAAAGGAATGGAGCATAACATGTTACAAAATGGAAGAACCTTGAAAACCTGTTAAGTGAAAGCCAGCTGAACATGACCATGTATTATGTGATTCTATTAATATCAAATATCCACAACAAGCAAATCTGTAGAAACAAAGTAAATAGGTGGCTGCCTAAAACTGAATGTAGGGGGGCAAGAGATGGTGATTGCTAATGGATACAGGGTTTCTTTTTTGAAAACAAATATGTTCTAGAAGTAGATTGTAGTAGTGCTAACATGAATCTGAATATACTAAATACCGCTGAATTGTACATCTTGAATGGATGAACTGCATAGTTTGTGAGTTATACCTCAATAAAGCTGTTTTAAAAAGGACATGAAAGCAAGCTTTTGTATATCAGCATGAATAATTTTAATGAGTGAAAAACATGAAATATAGGAAATGCATGTGTGAACAGAACAAGAAAATGCATACTTGACATCATTTCAGATGGCTCTTAAATCAACCCCTTACTCTGAAAAGTGATATTTAAATGTTAGGAATTAAGCCTTTGTCCTGTCTTCCGAGAAGAGATGATTCTGAAGAATTTTTAATTTGATGACATATGACATCATTTTAGCTAAGTACATACATCTTCTTAATTTTGCACTGTATCCTAAAGAGAAGGAAAAACCAAAGTATCTGTAAATTACCTTAAAGTATTTCAATATAAAAAATAGAATTTTAATATATTGTCATGAAAAGCAAAAATAAATTTTTCTATCTGTTCTCTTGGCTAGTGGACAAGATAATACTACTACACTGAGTTTACCAACTTTGTAAAACTGGGGGAAACTGGAAAAAGGGATCACACATAACCAGACAAGTATTTATTATTATTTTTAAAAAATATTTATTGTTGCCAAAACCGGTTTGGCTCAGTGGATAGAGCATCGGCCTGTGGACTCAAGAGGCCTGGGTTCGATTCCAGACAAGGGCATGTATCTTGCTTGCGGACACATCCCCAGTGGAGGATGTGCAGGAAGCAGCTGATCGATGTTTCTCTCTCATGAATGTTTCTAACTCTCTATCCCTCTCTCTTCCTTTCTGTAAAAAATCAATAAAATATATTTTAAAAAATAAAAAAATATTTATTGTTGAAAATATTACATATGTCCCTTCCTCCCTCCCCATTGATGTCCCCAGTCCTCCCCCACACCTGCCCCGGGCCCTCACCACCCTATTATTTGTATCCATGGGTTATGCATATATGCATACAAGCAGACAAGTATTTAGAAAAAAGTTTCTACACATCCCCAGGGATCAAAGCATCTCAGTGCGCGAAACATTCAAGCAGAGTGTTTACTACAGTGTAAAGCTCAAACTCACAGCCAGCGGGCCACGTGCCTCGTTACACGAGTTTGACGTAAACGGATAGGAAGCAATGAATCACAGAGCAGTCAGAGTATGAGCAAGGATCCCAATGTACTTCGTGCTGCTTTTCACAAAGAACACACGTCTTTCATTTGGATGAAATAAAAGCAAAGGAAAAGCACCGCTGGCGAGGGCATCCCTTGCTTAACTCACCTGCAAGGTCTGCTCTCCAATTCAGGGTTCCCTGTGGCTCCATGAAACACGGCTCTTTCCCTTGTTCCAGCTGAGAGATCAGAGCTGGTTTGAAGCTGGGTGGTGCTGCTTGAAGGAAAAGAAACACAAACTGAGCTGTAGCCAGAGGTGAGGAGAGCAATTCTTGGGTGGACTGAGCTAGAGGTACCCTAAATAGCCTCAGGATCATGCTCCCAAGGAAGCCTAGAATACCCTGGGAGGCAAATTTCTATTGAAGGGGAAATGAGATGTCTTACCTTCTCTGCTGGGGGATGGAAAATTCTCACTGGGGAAAACAGACACATGGAGAACTCCCTCAGGGAGACTAAGGCGCTGAGTTCTCTCAAGAGAATCTGGAGGTTCGATATAGGGTGAGGGTACCTCTCTAAGGCAGGGAGGGAGGGGGGCTAGAGTAGCTTTTATGGTGGAAAATGAAGGAAAGCCTTGTAAGTCAAATAGACACCGGGGCTGTCTGTACCTGGCAACTCTTGACACCGGCATTTGGGGTGAGCTAATAGATATAAGAGAGCCCCTCCGCTTCTGAGGCCCAGGCAGAGCCCCGAGGTCGGGGCCTTACCCAGGGCGGCCACGTTGGCGTAGTTGTCCAGCATCACCTCCCTGTACAGGGCCCTCTGCGCGGGGGCCAGGCTGGCCCATTCCTCCGCAGTGAAGTACACGGCCACGTCCTCAAAAGTTGGCAGCTCCTGAAACAACAAGCTCCTGCTCTTCCAGGCCTCAGGGCTTTGGTGACGGTCAACACTGTCAATGAGAGGCCTGGGAAGGGCACCTACACTGGTATGTATTTAGTACTGGCTCCCTCATGTGTCCGGTGAGTTTGGAAGGTGTGGGGAAAGAGGATGCAAATTAAAGGCAGCCAGCCGAAACCGGTTTGGCTCAGAGGATAGAGCGTCGGCCTGTGGACTGAAAGGTCCCAGGTTCGATTCCCGTCAAGGAAGGGCATGTACCTTGGTGGAGGGCACATCTCCAGTAGGGAATATTCAGGAAGCAGCGATTGATGTTTCTCTCTCATCAATGTTTCTAACTCTCTATCTCTCTCCCTTCCTCTCTGTAAAAATATCAATAAAATATTTTTTAAAAATAAAAAATAAAAATAAAGGCAGCCAGAGTTCAGCATACTTGCCCAGTTAAGATCCAAATACATGAGCTTCCAAATATAAGTGACCTCCAAATAGACCACTGTATAGAAGCTGGGCTTGAGCCTGAGTGTGAAATTATATATATAAAAGGAGAACTAACATGGAACTGGATATGGCTGGCATCTTAGCTCTCAGCCCCTCCCCACTCTGTAATACAGTTGTGTGATTATTTGGGTTGCTCATTTTACTGTCATTTCCCAATTCTGCTTTCATCCCAGTTCTTCCCTCATTCTTGTCTCCTTGTCCACTACCCCAGGCACAGAGCTCTCTTATCTTTCAATGACTCCCCACCCCATGCAGAGGGAGTGAGGTTAGAGATCCAATAGGAAAACACTGCTTACTTGGAACAGGCTAGAGAAAAATCTGCTTATCAGAGGACACCACTAAGGGAGTGAAAAAGCAAGCCAAAGGCTGGGAGAAGATATTTCATAACACATACATCTTACAAAGCACTCATATCCATAATACAGACTACAACTAGGAGGAAAAAAATGTCATACGATGTATTAAAAAATGTCGGTTGTGATGGGCTGTTGCTTCCCCTGATTGCCGGGTCACCCCTGAGGGCTCCTGGATGTGAGAGGGGGCAGGCTGGGCTGAGGGACTCCCGCTCCAGCGTATGAATTTTTATGCACCGGGCCTCTAGTAATTATATAATGAAAAAGTACTCGGCAATTAAAAAGGAGTGTTATGTGTAAAGTTCATAAACACATTGGTGAACCAAAAAAAGGCAGATATAAAAGAATATATGTTGAATGATTCCATTTAGATGAAGTTCAGAAACAAATAAAATTAAACTATGGTGGCAGAGGTCAAAATAACAGTCAACTTTGGGGTGGACTGCTTGGGATGACATATGATAGAGCTTGTTGTGGTACTGATAATGTTCTATGTCTTAATATGAGTGATGGTCATACAAGTGAGTATATATATATATATTTATACATACATATATATATTTAAATGTTTCCTTTTAACTGATTTTAGAAAGGGAAGAAGGGAAAGGGGGAGAGAGAAATATCGATTGGCTGCCTCCTGCACATTCCCTACTAGGGACGGAGCCTGCAACCCACCCTGACAAGGAATCAAACAGGCGGTATTTTGGTGCATGCAACTACATTCAACCGAGTCATACTGGCCAGGGCAGGTGTGTGTATTTCTAAAAAGTGAGCTATACAGTTCAGATTTGTATTGAAGATAAATTATACCTCAATGAAAAATGTATATGTTTTATATATACAACTGTATGTTGTATATGTATATGTATGCATGTATACTTATGTATACACAATTTATATAAATGTATATTTTATGTGCATATATAAGCATACACACATATGTAAATATATATGTATATACACATATGTATTCATGTAGAGTCAGAGGAAACCCAGCTCACCTGGGGCCCATCTATTAAGGACTTTTCTGACATTATCTGACCTCTTTTATTCGGGTCTTGAGGAAAGGTTAAGTCTCAGGAGCTGAAGGCAAAGAAAGAAGCATTAGTAACATAACTTTACTGACCATAACTCATGTATACAACATCTGATCCACCCTGTTTTGAGGCTGTATCAACTATTATTCATCAGTGACTGCCTTGTGTCAATGACAGTACACATCTCACAGTGGCCAGAGAGCAGGCATGCTGCTAAACTCACTGAGAGTTTAAGGCCAAGGGTAACCAAAGCAGTGATTCAGATTGGGTAAATGGGTACCCCTTGTAGCTGTGTCCTCCAATTCTCTTAAATTATGAAGTTGTCATCATACCTCTGTAATAAATGTCCCTTGCAGTGGATACCTAATAATACTGACATATTTATCAAAATAACTTAATCAAAAAGGTCTGATCCACACTGTTGATCTAAAAATAGATCAACAGTACTGGCCACCCTACAAAACATTCCCTTCCATTGCTTCCTATGGGGGAAAGCATAGCTATGGAGCTAAAGCATTAAAAAAAAAAAAAAAAAAAAAAGGAAAAAAAATGGGGAACAAATCACAATCCAATACACTCCACTAACGAACCACAACCCAATACAGGCCACTAACAGGACCAAAGGCTTAATCCCATGGATCACCAACCTCAACAGTTAGGTTAAGACAATGAGGAAACGTTAAGTGGATATAATGACAAGAGAAATAAGGGATGTTCTTTCTTGGTCCAGAAATCTTTCCCTATCTCCAATACATATGTAGGAAATTATATGCCAAACACTGGACACACTGGACATTTAGTGCTTGATGGATATGACTTGTCATGAGATTTTTTGTTTTTTGTTTTTTGTTTTTTTGGATTAAACATTCAAATGGGCCAATCCAAATCCAGGATTTCACAATTTCCAATTTGTGAACCAAGTAGCCTCCATCCCGGAGGGGGGTGAGGGTGGGAAGAAGGGGGACCATTTCAGGACTTCCAAGACTTTGCCTCTCTCTGTAGGGACACTAATAAGCTTTCAGATGGGGCTGACACCAGGCCAGGTGAGTAGGTAAAAGTGCTCACAGACCGACTTCCTGGCACCACCTGGAGGGGGAGAAAGGGGTTAGGGTGGACACCGGCGGGGGGATGGGCTGGGGCCTCCGCGGGCCGGGGCAAGAGGGGCTGAAAAGGCCGACGGACCTGTTCTCTGTGGATAGCGTGTCCTGGAGCCCAATCAAGACTTTAAGAACCTCAGTGTCAACGCCCCTCACATTTTATCAGCACCCAAGAAGAATAACAGGCCGCTGGCTGTGCTGGGGACCAGAAACCCAGGGGGCGGGAGACGACGGCTGGCGCCCCCTCTCGAAAGGATCGACCCGAGCCCAGGGGAGGGATGGGGACCCCGGTGACGGGATGAGGACCCCGGTGGCACCCCTTTCAGTCAGACCCGCTCACCCTGGGCTCTGAGCGGCCTTCGAGGAGTCCCAACGACCAGAGGTTTTGCACGCGGCCCTCGGGTGCTCCCGCTGCGTGAACAATGGCTGCACCCCGGAAGTACTTCCGTGAACAATGGCTGCGCCCCGGAAGTACTTCCTCACGTTGACCCACTGACCCAAACGTCCTTGAGATTCCCTCTAGTAATTTTGGAGGACCCCTCATCTCGGTGGTCCCTCCTAGTTCCGTGAGACAAGCCTAGGAGACCAGAGGGCGGGCGAGAGGAATCCCATCTCCTTCCCAGACCCCGGGTTCTGAGCCCCGGGGTCTGCTCCCCGCATCACCCACCTTCTCCGGAAGGAGGCGGAGTCTGCGGCGGGAGCTGGAAGGTGGGCTTTCTTTCTCTAGCTGTGGAGCCCGCTTAAGGAGTCCTTCCCCTTGGGGTCGGAAGCCATTTCCGGGAAGAGACAGGCCCAAGCTCCTGCAGGATGTATTTTCCACCTGCGGGTGGGCCTTCCCCTTCAGGGCCTGGAAGTGCAATCTGGAGCCTGGAGGGGGATCTGAACTGGGCTGAGGGGCTACCCTGCACGGGGTGGAGGCCGCAGGGCAGAGGAGCCTCCCAAATGTTTGCTGAATAAATGGAAGTTGAGGAACGCAGTGGCGATCTTATTCTATATCCAGAAGACCCCGAGGATGTCACGAAGGCAGTGCTTTTTGGTCCTTCGTAGAGAGAGCCACCACGAAAGAGGGAAGGTCAGAAGCAGGGAGAAGTGAGTCCAGGCCCCAGCTAGAAGCCTACCACACTGCCTGTGCATATCTTTCTCAGACTGTCCTAACCAGTTCAGCGACATTCACTTGTCCTTTACTGTTATGTCCTCATTTGTTTTGTTCCTACCAGGCCACTGTGATGCCCTACATGGAGCTCAAAGTTACAGCCCTTTTTACCTAAATATCCAGCCCCTCAACTACCATTGGCTGAGGTTGGCATTGGGACCCGCCTCTCAATTACCATTGGCTGAGGTTGGCAGTCGGACCAACCCCTCAGCTACCATTGGCTGAGGTTGGCAGTGGGACCCGCCCCTCAGCTACCATTGGGTGTGGTTGGCAGTGTGAGAAGCCCCTCAACTACCATTGGCTGAGGTTGGCAGTGGGACCAGCCTGTCAAATAGCATTGGCTGAGGATGGCCTTGGGACCCACCCCTCAACTACCATTGGCTCAGATTGGCAGGACCGGCCCCTCAATTACCATTGGGTGATGTTGCCAGAGGGACCCACCCCTCAGCTACCATTGGCTGAGTCTGGCAGTGGGACCCGCCCCTAAATTACCATTGGCTGAGTTTCAAAGTGGGTCCTGCCCCTAAACAACATTTGGGTGAGGTTGCAACTATAATAGGTCAACAAGGCAGGACACAAACTAATTACAGAAATACACATATCTCTGAACAACCTTCACCGTTAAGCCCAGCCATTTTTTACTGGGCCCGCCCCCTCCTCACTGCTCATGCCCAATCTACCCTCAAGGACCCAGGGCAATTGTGTCATCCCTAAGCACTATCCCTTCCCCCCACTCCCCTGCACCTTCCTCCCATTACCAGTTGGCACCATGTGTCTCTCTCCCAATGCTCAGACTTTGGGATGGAAAGCACAGCAGGTGTACAGTGAAGACCCTGGCAGACATCCCAGGATCCTGGTGACCAAGGCCAACATCAACAGGGATCCACGGATAAATCGTGTTGGTATCACGTGCTCTGATTCTCTCCAATGAGCATGCTCCACACATGTGGTGGTCTTCCCTAAACCCCAGTGTATTAGAAGAAAAACATCAGAGAATCCAAAAGGCATCCTTCAAAACACAGGACCAGCATGCTGCAGCCACGCACGGCCCCGGTGGCCCTTAGATGGGACTGCTGAAAAGCTTGGAAAAGACAGACAAGAGAATGAAAGCTGGGTCTCGGGGAGATGCTGCTTCCTGAGAAACGGCACCCAAGCCCACAAGCCGAGGCTTTATTTTGTAGCAGATGACACAAGGCAAAGTGAAAACTTGGTCAAGATGTTTCCAGCATTCTCAAGGGTTTCCATCCCACTCCATTACATGCACCTGATCAAACCTGGGTTACTTGCAGCCTATATCACTCAGGCAAGTGGGGCTACGTGTTCAGATCATAGGATCAAGCTTACAACTCCAGCTGTTGGATATAATTGTGCAGGGAGACTCTGCCTTCCAAGTTGGGACCTGCATATAGCCAAGAGAAGACTCGGTCCTATCATTAGTCCCGGTCTTGAACTTGTCCAAATGCTATAGTCATTCTGCATCCTCCAGGGCAAGGTGGACCCCTTGCCCGTCAAGGTCATTAAAAATAAGGATGCTTGTGAGATAATGCACAGATTGAGCTAAAAGCAGTGTGGGGTTCTGGGTAGATCTTCCAACACAGTGTTTCCCAAAGTGTGGTGAGGTATGAGGGTATGCATACCCAAAGTGTGGTATGCATACCCTCAGGGGTACGGGAAGAGTTTGGTGGGGGTCCACCTTGCACTGGAGTTTGGTGGCGATATGCACTGCACCGTACTTAGCTGCGCCTAATTCTTAGTTCTCATGAATACGAAGTTTACTCAGCGTTACAAAAATTATAGAAACACTGCTCCAACAGAAGAAGGCTATTAGTGAAAGACTATAAAAACTCAACTCTGTTCAAGCAAGGCACCAGCACTCACTTCTTAGCTTTGTTGGTGCAGGAGTAATGGAAGCTGTGAACACTAGCTAGTAGACCTGTGGGCAAGGAACCCTGTACTAACTACTCAATTGTGGGGGTAAATCTAGAATTATTCCAAAATAAAAAAAAAATATTTTTAAAAAATGTAATGAACAGCTCTGGCCAATTATGTTCAGTGGTAGGAGCATCAGCCCAAGGCCTGGTTTGTGGGTCCAACCCCTCAACAACCATTGGCTGAGGTTGGCAGCAGGACCAGCCCCTCAACTCCCATTGGCTGAGGTTGGCAGTAGGACCAGCCCCATCTAAGAACATCAAAGATGGGAAAGAGGAAAACAAAAAACATGTGAATGAAGATGGCACCCAGAGGAGCCAGGATGAATAAAACAAGAAGATGGAAAGCCATGGGTACACAGAGAATAAAAAGGAATCCCCCTGCTGTTCACAACATGAGTTTAAGAGAACACGTAATGATTACAATATAAAGATCGAGACAAGGAAACTGGTTAGGTGACTGACACGTGTGTCTCCACTCACCTGAAGACATGCCCTTTGAGCTCTCTCCATCCAGAGTTCCCTGGGGAGCCGAGCACCAGGGGGCTTCCCCTCACTGCAGCTGGGAAATCAGAGCTGGTTTGGGAAATGAAAATGCTTCTTCAGGGGAAGGAAACGGGACAGGTGAGTGGGGCGACACAGAGTAATCCCAGGGCTCCTTCCTGCAAGGCTTGTGCCTCCAGGGGAAGGAGGGGGAAGAAGGGAAATTTCCAGGGAGAACAGAGAAGGACATCCAGGGAAAGTGGGAGACACCCAGGGAAGAGGGCCAGAGCTCCCAAAGGTCAGCAAGTAGAGCAGGAGGTGCTCAATAACAGTTTG